AGAAAAACTATCTTTGTTTCTCAGCCTTACCTCTTACCCAAATAAGTTCAATGATAATGCTTTGCTTGATTCATGGTTCTTACTTAATGAATGTTAAAGGGAAAGAGAGATCTTAAGGCATGTGTAAATCAAGATAAATGTTAGGTTGTTGTGATGAATATGGCTAAAGTTTTTTAAGTAGAGCTCGCTCACCATGCATTTTACAACTGCTAACTTGGACCTTGATTTGATTTACTTTATTAGCATGCTTTGGTTCAGAATCCCCACCTTCAAACCTCTCCTTCAGCTTATGTATGCTTGTTTGTTTGAGGGCAAGCAAAGACTAAGTTTGGAAGAGTTGATATGTCTATTTTACTTGTTTTAAGCACTCAATAATCATCACTTTAGGGTTTCCTAGTATTTGCTATAAATAAGTCCCTTTGTCTTTGTCCAGAAAACAAAAGCTTTATCCGCTGAACAATTATTTTCTGCAAGATTTTGTAATTCAAATTTCTTTTGATCCTTTGAGTTTTTGCAATTATTTCTTTGAGCAAAGTTGTTTATTTTCTTTAGATCTTTAAGTTGTGAAGGTTTTAAAAATTTTTGGGTTTGTGTTCTTGAGCATGCTTCTTAAGTAGTGATTAGGATTCTTAAGGATGGGTTAGATAAGTGTAGAATCCTAAATCTTTGTGGATTAAGTTTTGGTTGTTTAAATCCCTACTAGATTAGTTGTTATTCATACTGATTCTTGTTTGATCAACTGGAATTTGAGCTCATGCATTTCCACACCCAGAAGGTGTTCGATGAAATGCATAAACCACTAATTCCAGAGATTTGTGTCTTTGTCCCAAGTTATTGGTTATATAGTGCTTATTGGCTTTAGCATGTTGATTCTTAATGCTTGTTAGGTTAGTTTTCGTCAATGGTGATTGAGCCGGAGACTATTTTTGCTTGAGGGTTTCTATTACGGAAGTGGATTGATCGGTTGTTGAACATGTTGTCTAGGGATAGCTTGATTGAGTTTGTTAACCACCTGATAGGCTAAGGAGGCCATTCTATTCGATTACCCCATCTTTAGGAATTTCTCATCCATCTGATTTGTCTGTTTACAATCCTGTTCTTTGCTTGTTCTATTGCATGTTGCTAAGTTTTCGCATTTCTGTCTGTTCTCACCTGTCACTCGATCACACCTAGTGTCTCGCAACAGACTGTACGATCGAGTAAACTGTGAGTTTCTGTATGTTTTTCACCTCATACTCGATCACACCCAGTATCTAGAGACATACTCTGCGATCGAGTAACCTCTTGAATCGTGTAAGTTTTTCTGTGTTCTACATGATCACTTCGGACTGTTAGATATCAAAACCTGTTTATACTTGGCTTGATTTAGTAACTTCTGATCGCATCTTGATTGTTAGAATCGCACCTAAAATGGATTGATAACCTATTTTACTGCAATGACCTGATAGTGCTATAGGATAATTGAGAACTAGCAAAAATCCTACTATCACCAAACCTTCATGCAAAGAAGCGTCAGCAACAGTTCAGTTCCAGTAAGGGCGCTAAGCCGGTGCAGGGACAGAAGCGTAAGTGGGATGATAGTCAATAGGCTAGCCAGGGTGGTCAGGGATGCTTAGGATACGGAATCAAGGACCATAGAGTGGCGAGATGTCCTCAATGGAGTGCTATTGATAATTGGGTGTGCTCTCACTACAAGATGGTGGGGTATATCAAGCCCATGTGTCCAAAGTTGTAGCAAAGAGAGGTGACATAGGTGGCAGCGCTAGTAGCGATACCTTCAGAGAGGCTGATTGCAGTTGTACCTCGGGTGTAGTCCTCGGAGAGGTTGATGGACCGAGTACCAGGCCGATCGCAGTTAAACTTCTAGATTTATGTGAGTAAAAGTCTAGTTGTTTGTGAATTATTTTCTTTTGTGACGTGTTAAGGTGCTTAGCATTATAGAATTCTCTAGGAACCTTAATCGTGGGAGGTATTGAGTCCCACGTACTGTTTGATTTTGGAGCGTTGCACTTTTTTATTACTTCGGAGTTCAACGAGCGAGGCGATATTGGGGGAGAACCCCGACGAATAGTTCAGACTCGTTAGGGTTGCTGGGGGAAAGTTTCTGGTTTTTTAGAGTCAAGCTAGAAATGTGGATGTCCAGGTAGATGGAGAATCTATGCTAGCAGATTTGATCATTTGAGCAGTGCAGCTGTATGACGTCACTTGGGCATGGATTAGCTCGGACATTACATGATATATCTGGATTGCCACCGGAGATGTGTCGTGTTTGAGAGAGAGAAGGGAGGGTTGGTTTATCAAGGTGTGAGACCAACTTTTGGGAGTCTCGTAATCTCGGCCGTGCAGGCAGAGAAGATGATCAAGAAAGGTTGTGACGCCTATCTAGCAATAATCGTGACCCCAGAGATAGTTGGAGCAGTTGGGGTTGGAGATATGTGGGTTGTTCAAGAATTTGAGGATGTATTTCAGTCGTTGGAGGGGTTATCGCCGTCACGGTCAGATCCTTTCACGATTGAGTTGGAACCGGGGACGATGTCAATATCCAAGGCACCCTATAGAATGGCTCCAACAGAGATGGCACAGGTAAAGAAGTAGTTGGAGGAATTGTTAGGTTAGGGTATTATCCGGCCGAATAGTTCACCGTGGAGAGCACCACTGTTGTTTGTGAAGAAAAAGGATGGGAGTTTCGGTTGTGTATTTATTATTGGGGGCTTAATTAGTTAAAGTGAAGAAAAAGTATCCTCTACCACGGATTCATGAGCTGTTGGATCAGCTAAGAGGGACTACTTGGTTCTCCAAGATCAATTTGGCGTCAGGTTATCATCAGATTCCGATTGATGAGGCAGATGTTCGGAAGACAGCGTTCTAGACGAGATATAGACACTACGAGTTTGTGGTGATGCCGATTAGGTTGACGAATGCACGAACGCCATTTATGAGGTTGATGAATGGTGTGTTCCATGATTACCTGGATGAGTTTGTGATAATCTTTATAGATGATATTCTGGTGTATGCTGATATAGGTCAAATTTCATAAAGACCACTCTCTCAAATAAGAGATCAATTATAGAACTTTAGGGTCGAATTCCACAAACTTCTTGTTGTTCACACAATGAACTAACATTTTTGTGAATTAAGCTAAACAAGAAATATAAAAATTAAAGATTGCAAGTAAAGTAATCGGTTGTAAATCAATTGATGAAAGAAGCTAGACTTAGGGTTAATCCTTTAAGTAAATCAGAATTATAAATCACAGAACAAGTAAGAGTTGATTAAGCACCGTTCTCGAACTCAAAACACGCAATTAAAATCAACCAACTCTCGTCTGTATTGATTAAGTATGCCTAAAAATCGGAATTCCAACTCTCGTCTGTAAATTCCTAAAATTATTCAAGCATTAAAGTCTATGTTTGATTGTTCACAAAAGTATATAAACCAACTCTCGTCTGAGAATAGAACTTTGGTCACCTAAGATAATTTTAGGGAATAAGCGCACTCTCGTATCTAACCTATTATCCTATGAGATAGATTCTAGGTGATTAGTGTAGAACTAGTGATTAAATCAAATCTTGGTGAAAAACTATAAAATTATTCTACCAATTGTTCAACTTAGCAATTCATCAATACATGGAAACTCCTAAATTTGAAAGGTAAATTACTCAGACATGATAAAAAAAAAAAAAAACACAAATCATAATCTGAATAAATTATATTAAAGAAGTTAAGAGATTTTGTAAAGGAGTTCTGAATCTTCTCTGAAGATTTCATTTGGATTAATTTGATTCAGCTTTGTTGTTCGGGTTTCCATTAATTTTACACTGTGAGATGACTTTTTTGGTGACGCCAAGGAGTTCTAGGGACCAATTGAGCAACCATATATAGCTATAGGTCTGAGATCAGTACATTGTTTCAAAGAAACATGGCAACAAAAAATGCAAATGATTTCGTTCTTAGTAAGTTCAGTGGGATGGGGTATGATTTCAGTTAGTCTCCTCTCATAGACATGGAGGTGGAGGACTAGCGTTATTTTTGAAACAATCAATAAATCTAGTAGTTATTTCATATTGTACATAGATACTTGTGTAACAGTCAAAGGTAAAACGTTTTTTTGCTACGTTTATGTATGGAAACATGGTCATTCTAAAAGAAAGGCTATTTGAGACTACTTTCGAGAGTTAGCTGATGTAAGAGATGGTCATAGGTTTCTATCTGGTCACTTTAATGATATTGTGGATAACTCGGAGAAAGTGGGAGGCCCAATCAGAGCAGAAGGAACCTTTGTGGATTTCAGATCTTTTCTCTCGGAGTGTGATTTGTATGATCTTAGACATTCTCGCAACTGTCTATCTTGGAGGGGTAATAGACATACTCATGTTGTCAAATGCAGATTGGATTTGCAAATAGCAAATGGGCAGGGATGTTCCCTCGTGGGAGATGTGAATATCTAGACTTCGAAGGGTCTGATTATAGACCATTAATCTCTTACTTTTCACTAGAGAAGAAGAAAAAGGCGAGATCCTTCACGGTTTAACAGAAGGTTATGGGACAATGTGGAGGTAGAACAATTAGTCAAAGATTCGTGGCTAGAAGATGACAGAAGTTATGTGCAAGTGCAAATTCTTAAGGTTAGAAGAGCAATAATTTAGTGGAACCGAGAAAAGCATTGGAACAGTCAAAAGGAGATTTAGAAAAAGACGATTGAATTAGAGAAGGCAATGGTAAGTCCTTGTTCTAATGAAGAGCTTCTCAAGAGGATCAGTGATGAGCTAAAAGCTGCTTATAATGAAGATGAGTTTTGGAAAAAAAGGAGTAGGCAGCTGTGGTTGAGCTGCAGGGACACCATGTTTGTTATTCGCAGACGAAAGCATGTTTTTCTGTAAAACAAATGTGAAAAGCTGCAGGGAATTAAAAGTGATCTTGGAAAAGTATGAAAGGGCTTCAGGGCAACAAATTAATGGACTTAAATCCTATATATCTTTCTCTAGAAAAGCCTCGGCGATATTGAGGCAAAGAGTTAAACTCTCCTTAGAGATTGAGAAAGAGGGAGGAGGAGTAAGTAAATACCTTGGATTGCCTCAGCATTTTAGAAGATGAAAGAAGGATTTGTTCACATCTATCTTGACAGAATTTGACAGAATTCGACAAAAAGCTCTAAGTTGGTCTAATAGGTTCCTCTCAAATGTGGAAAAACTGATTATGCTATAGACTGTGCTTTCAATTATACCAACATATGCAATGTCGTGCTTTCAACTACCAAGATCCTTGTGTAAAAGAATACAATCTACACTTACTAGATTCTGGTGGGATTCAAGAGGAGATAAAAAAGAGATGCGTTGGGTCACGTGGGATAAACTAACTTGAGCAAAACAAGAGGGAGGGCTTGGTCTCCATGATATCCAAAGCTTTAACGAAGCCCTTCTTGCAAAACTAAGCTGGAGAGTGGTAAATGCTCCTAACAGTATATTGGCTCGTTTTCTCCTTGGTAAGTACTGTCAATCCAACTCATTCTTAGAGGCAAAATGCCAATCCTCATGGGTGGCAAAGTGTGCTAACTGGTAGAGATCTCCTGAAAAATAACATGGGATTGGCAGTGGGCTATAGAAAATCTATTAAAGTATGGGAAGACCTCTAGCTGTCTCATTCTCAATACATACAACCGACAAGACCAGCACCAAAAGAGTTCCAAGATATAAGAGTGCATGAGCTGTTTATACCAGGTTCAGTTGAGTGGGGCACAGGAAAAGTAAATACATTATTCCTCAACATATCTCTGAAATTACAGAAATAAAACCAAGCAGGCTAGGAGCGGCTGACAATAGAATATGGATTCAGCATCATTCAAGGGTCTACTCAACCAAATCTGGTTACTACATTGTATGAGATAAAGCATGTAAACCAGCTGATATGTTACCACTACTCCAAATAAACTAGAAGTCAGAGGTGTGGAGTGTTGTGAATGCACTTAAGATAAAAAAACTTTCCTCTGGACCTTCTCGGAGCCCTGCCCACGGGGACTTAATTGGAAGCAAGACATGTTGTTGTGGATGTGGTTTGTTTTCGATGTAATGAACCATAATTCATCTTACATGTATTGTTCGCTTGCTCCTTTGCGCAGCAAGTTTGGCAGTAGGTCCCTTTCAAGACGGGTTTTGACCCCTTTCTTATCCAAGATGTAAGAGTAGGTTTGTTTACCACTAGAAGATATTGGAATGGTGCCACTTTTTCCATGGATTTGTTGGGCGCTTTGGACCACTACAAAGTAAAAGATTTTTAATAACAAAATTTCACAATTGAATAAACTGTGTTAAAGGCTGTTAAAGATGCCAAAGAGTGGCAAAAAGCTCAAGCCAGAAAGTCGTAGATCAATTTCCTCACTCCAAGGTTTGATCTTCTTATCTTTCCGGTGTTTGGTAACTGATGCAAATCTGACGCAGCTTGGAGAATCGATTTAAAAGCAGCTGAAATCAGGTGGACGTTTAACTATCCGACCATAGGTGCCTCGATGCAACATTCAGTGTTGTGTGAAAATGTTGCATCCCCTCTTATGGCTGAAGGGTTGGCAGTTCGAGTGGCCATCACTGCAGCGCTTGCAGCAGATGTGAGTCATTTCTTGATTGAATTAGATTGTCAGGAATTAGTCAAAGCTATTAATGCAAGATTTCTCCTATCCGAGATACATGACATCATTTCAAACATCTTAATTAGCTTGAAATCTTTGAGTTATTTGTTTGTCGTTTTATTTCAAGGGAAGCCAATGTAGTTTGTATGCTCTAAACTTTTGTTCTAAACCGGTTGTATGCTTTAAACTTTTGTTGAGATTAATAAAAATTAAGTTTGCACAAAAAAAAAAAAAGAGGAAAGTGGTAACGATAGATGGAATTAGGTCTGGGCATTCGGTCGGTTTAGCTTAACCGGGTCGGTTTACTCAGATTTTCGGTTTTTTCGGGTTGACCATAACTTCACCGAATTGTACCGAATAAAAATTTGGTTCAGTTCAATTCGGATGTCGGTTTATTCGGTTCGGTTACATGATTTAAAATCAATTCCGGATTGAACCGAATTTTTATTAATTTCGGTTATTTTGGTTAGTTTTTCTGGTTTACTTGCTGGATATAGATATAATCTCTACAATAATTAATTGAGAAGTAGAAACGCACCATATTCAAAGTTAGGGCATTGGAGGCCTGTGGTTAAAAGTTGGAATGATTTGTCCTAAACACCCTTAATGAATTGTTCTTCTCGAAATTTCTTCTTCTTTGTAATTAGGGGTATATAAGTCTAATCGTGTCTTGATCTCTATAATAATGTCCTAAACACCCTCGATTTCGAAATTTTTTGTTCTTAATTGTTAAGGGTATATAAGTCTAATCGTGTTTTGAGATGATTAGTCTTAATCACCCTTAATTTTTTTTTTTATATAGTGTAATCGTTGGGGATACGGATGTCATAATGTCTCGACTTTAATGATTATGGAATCTTAGCTTAAATTTATTTGTTAATTTTTTTGGATAATTCTATATCTTAGTAGTTAATATTCGTTTTTGTTAGTTTTCTGATTTAGTTTCTAATTAAAAAGTTAAATTTCTTAAGATAATGATTGATGTTTGCCCTAATCTTAAAGCTATATATATTGTTGATCGGCCAGAGAATTAGGTATTATTTTTTCTGTGTCCATTAGATAGTTTTCACCGTTATGGTTTTTTTATATAGCTACGATTCTGGTCGTGTGCATATTGTTTGTTGTTTGTTTTATTTTTTGCATTAGTTCGTTGCTTTATTGTTTGCTGATTTGATTCTTTTGTTATGTGTTTCAGATTTGTAGAACGTGGGAGGTTCCATCGACAAAGCTTTCGGACGAAGGTGGTGTTTCTGAGAACAGAACGAGGTTTGGAAAGGTATTTCTATAGATTTGTTTTGTATATTTTACATCTATTAGATAGATAGTTTTGTTTGCTTTCGTAATTTTTTTTTGGTCGTTTTGGTTTCTCTAAATCAAAATTTTTGTCATGTTGTTATGATTTTTGCTTTCCTTGATAATTTAAACTGTTTTATAGCAATATTAATATTTTTTACCTGTGTAATTACCGCAGATTGGGTATGTGGAAGCAACTGAATCTATAGATGCAAAATTCAGATCCGTTTGCAACCGATCGACATGTGATCTTCTATCTTTCATGCACTAACAATCTGTTTTTTTTTATTATGAATTTATAATTCAGATTAGGGTTACAATATTTTCGTTACAAATCAGATGCTAGCTGGAACACCAACTTGGATGTCATCTTTAAGCAGGTATTGTAGATACTAATATATCTTCATGAACAAAACATGTTAGCCTCCCTCTCTTTTTAGTCGAACATATTTGTTTAATGAATAAAAGTTTTTTAGAAAATATTACGGTTTGTTTCATCCTATATAAAAGTATTCTCTAATCTAACTATATTTTGTATTTAGTAATTTTTTCGTTTGCATATTTTGTTTACTGTCCTGTAACTCAATTATATTGTCTCCTAAATTTTTATAATTTTGTTTATTAAATTAATTATATTTTTGTTTGGTGCTACAATTATATTTTGTTCGTGCTACAATTCGTGAAACACCTCCACCACCCGTTAGGTAAAGTCCAGTATTCATAGTGAGTTCCTTTGTTAATTGACTGAAAAGGGAGTATTAAACTTTGATGTGACGGTATATTGTTTTTTCGCAGAAAACCGATACTTCAGTCTCCCTCTCAACGGAAACCTCAACGTTCAGCAACCTTTTCGTTCTCATCTATCGCCACGACACCAAAGAAAGAACAAGGTAAAAAAACAACTTCAGCTTGAAAATGCTGTTTTGGCTTAATGTGAATACAGAACTTCTAACTGTGTGCTTGATAAACCAGATAAGCGAGCAGTATCACCACATCGGTTTCCGCTTCTAAGATCTGGTTCGGTTGCTATCCGGCCATCATCAATCAGCCGGCCAACTACCCCGAGCAAGAGTAGAGTGGTATCTCCAATGCCTAAACGGGTAAGCTTCGGTTACATTTCAAACACTCACTTTTAGGCTCTATCTCTAGCGGTTCCGAACGTTTTGTAACTCAATTATATTGTCTCCTAAATCTTTATAATTTTGTTTATTAAATTAATTATATTTTTGTTTGGTGCAGTGTTTAGAGATCCTTTTAAGACCATATTATAATGGAAGAATCATCGTGTAGAACGCTGGAGACTATTCGGAAACCCAAAAGTCAATTTCAGAGTAATTTGAAACCGTAATTTAGTTATTGCACGAGAGAGGAAACAAGTTTATGACATTGTCTCATAGAAGACTTATTTGAAAAATGGTATTGATTTTTTTTTTTTATCTTCGACAGGAGAAGGCCAGAGAAGCAAAACAAAAGTCAAACTTCATAAATAAAAACAAGAGATTTGTTTCTTTTTTATTTGCATGTATCAGGAAGACCAAACCCTCGAGAATAATTCCACTACGGAAATATCACTCCAACAAAATCGATTGTTTTCTCAACTCAGCTCTTTGATTAAAGGAGCACAAAGGTATGTGGTCAATGGAGTCTTATATATGACATGTTCGAAAATCAGTCCTACCACTCGATCTCATATTATCTCCTGTCATTTGATTCCTCGAATGAACACCATTAACAACAGTTCCCACCTGCCAAATTTGGTTGGCCGTGCTCAAATTCAATGCAAGAGTTGCGTAGATGGTAACTTCGACATTGATCAGAGTCTCGGAGACGCGATTCACAAGGAAGCTAAGACTACCACATGAGTTGCGTGTCGTAGCAACTCACGGAAGATGTATAGGCCTGGCATTGGCCACTTGAGTTGGTGATTACGACGAGCTCTTGCGTCCCAACCATATGAGTACTACTTGGGTTAAGTCCACTAGCAATCCAAGAAGAAGAAGGGGTTCCATGGTGGCAAAAGGAGATGGAAACGGTACTGTTTGTTTGTTGTATGTCCAGTGTTTAGAATTTCATAAGCCTGGTCACTTTTATAGTACTCTTTGTTTGTTTTGTTTTACGTTCTTGTGCTTTATTATATATATATGTGGAAGTCGAAACTAACACAATCGAGATTTGTCTAGGGTTTTAATTTAGGGATACGATATGCGAGAATCCTCAAAGAACAACAGAAAACAATCGTAACCAAAGATGGTGCTCTTGATCTTATTGATGAAAAGAATAGTTTTGATCGTACAAGAATTTGATCGTAAAAGAAAAAGGTGTTTGTGCTGTGAGAGCTTTGTGTAATGTAAGTTCTAGAGCGATATTGCTTTTTTTCTGCGAGAGCCTTGAGTCTCTTTATATAAGGGCGATGAACCGCCTCTCCAGCGATATTCTCGGAAGATTTCCATTTATCTTGAAGTCGGCTTAGAATATCGCGGATTAGGATAGTTTCCTTATTCTTCGGAGTCTTTTGGAAGATTTCCTGATTTGAGTTGATCCTTCGCGATCCTTCTTTATCATTTCCGGGTTTGTCGGAAATGATCATTCTTTTTCGGAAATGATGCCTTGCTTGGAAATAGTACTTTGAAGACGAATATTCACCAAGTCTTTACCTCGGGTGACTTGTGCAATCGGCTCGGGGACTAGAGAGGCACGGCCCAAGCTCCCGAGGGAAACCGGCTCGGGTCCACGGAAGGAGCCAGCTCGGGGGTCTTGGCACGAACCGGCTCGGATTCCCGAAGTGAACCGGCTCGGGAACTTGAAGGGAGCCGGCTCGGGTTGACAAGCTCACTGACAGACCCCGAGCAGACTACGGGCTTTTCCCCGAGGCAACCAGTGTAGTGACCCGAGGTGAACGGCACTCTGCACCGAGGTGAATGGCAGTTTGCACCGAGGTGTCTTCAGAAGTTCCCTGAGGCGTCCGAAGCTCGGCTCGGTGCTATGGGATGAAATCCGACCCCAACAGTTAGCCCCCCAGCTCGTTGATTTGAGAAGCAAACAATGAGCTTCACGACTGTTTAGTCCGAGCCGTTTAAAACTTTGTTCCGAGCCCATCCTTGTATGCCGCGAAATTTTCAATCTTTCGAAGATGGTTAATGTCCTTCGGTGATTCTGATTCTCTTGACGATTCGAATCCTTTTGACGCTTCATCTTCTTCTAGCGCGTGTGACGGTTGAGATTCTACCTCGAGAAGTGGAAGAGTCTTCTGCTGATTCCCGAGACCCGTGCGGATGCGAAGCACCTTTATATTGTTCACGCGCACCCGACGCGCCCAAGACTTGGGCGGATGCGAAAAATTCTTACAGTTGCGCGTACCCGACGCGCCGAAGCGTTCTATAAGTACCCGGTTCCTGCTTCATTTTCTCATTTCGCAATCTGCAAGGAAAATTTCTAAGGTTCGCTTCTTTTCTCTCTGATCTTGATCTTCTTTAATTTCTTCTGCTTTGTTTTACTTTCCGTCGTTCCTCCGCCGTGCCAGATCTTAGATTTGGTTTTTCCGATTTCAAATCTTGTTTTTCCGATCCTTTTTGATTCAAACGAGCCAAAGATGTCTTTCTCCGATTCAAGCGACTCGTCCCGAGGCAGAAACATTCCTGTCCCCGAAAGGAAGATGATTTGGAGCAGTCCCTCGGAAGGACCCGAGGCAAGTTTTTCGGATCGCTCCGAGGCGAACAGCCATAGTGAAGCGAAGTCGTCATCCATAGACCAAGATCCGAGCCAATTTGTGGCTCGGGGGGATACCTTTGCGAATGTGGCTCGGGATGAGGATCTTCCCGATGACCCCGAGGCGAGTTTACACACGGGGAGAATGCGTCCTCCGGCTAAGGACGAAGCTGGGGGCTCTCGCTGGCAGAACGCACCCGAGCCATCTTTGCTTCCTGTAAAGGCCGAGGCGATTCAATATGACTCCGACGCGGAAGCGAGAATGCTTCAGGCTAGGGTGCAAGCAGCTAAGGCCCTTCAACAGAAGACGAAACGATCCAGAAGAGTAAAAAGGCCCGATCCTCCTGGTTCTACATTATCTACCGAGGACTCCCTCAGAGAGTTGAGAGCTCGGTTTGGTTTTAGTGAAGGAGTCACTATGAGACTTCCAACCCCGAGCGAACGAGCCGATAATCCTCCCGAGGGGTTCTTCACGTTGTACGAGGGGTTTTTCTATTTTTGTTTCTTATGGTTCCCTCTCCCGAGGCTAATTGTGGAGTACTTATGGTCGTACAAGATTGCGTTGGCTCAGATCTCAACTCGCGGATTGCGGCACCTTATTGGGATCTTGGTGAGGAGTTTCGAGGCGGACAAAACCTTGTTTCTCGGGCATTTAAGGAACTTCTTGGAGGTTCGTCGTAGTCCGGGCCCTCTGGAGAGATATTACATCTCGCCGAGCAAGAATAAAAAGATCATCGGCGGGTTCCCGAGCAAGGATGAGAAGTATACCGATCACTTCTTCTTCGATAAAATTGTTGCGAAATGGGGCAGAATTGGTAGTTTACCCGAAGCGTTCGAATTTTCTCTCTGTCGTGACTTGATCGATTTATTCTAACCACTTTTGTTTTCGTTTGCAGAACGTGACCCGACGTTTCTTGAGCTCATCCCCGAAGATCTTTTGGAAACGCACGAAGAGTTGGCTTCTCGGAAGTGTCATTGGACCAGGCACTTCAGTCTTAAGAGGGTTGAGAAAGCGTTGAGGCTACTCCGTGGTGTGTCCTGCTCCTCATCGTCATCCTCCTCGGACCATCGATTAAGCGGCTTCGTAGAGATGCAGAAAGCGAAGATGACGCTGCGGGAGAAGAAGGCCGCAAAGAAGGAAGCGGCTGAACAGAAAAGAGCCCTCGAGGCAATTTTCAAGCCTTTACCCGAGGCGACTGACGTGCCCGAGGGGTCTGGAGGGTCCAAGGTACCCGATCTGCCCGAGGCGGCCGGTAGGCCCGAGGCGACTGATGGTCCCGAAAAATCTGGGATCGATTTAGCTATGACTTCGGTTCCTCCCGAAGCGTCTGAGGGCGTCCCAGCCGGGGACAGTGGAGTTCGAGCTCCCGAGGCCGAACATACCGAAGTCGTGGTTGGCTTGGCTGCTGGTAGACAGGCCAAGTCTAAAGGAAAACGTGCTCGGGGTGAGCATTCTACCGAGAAGAGGAAGAAGTCGAAGAGCGATCACAGTAGCTCTCGGCCAATCTACAAGGACAAGGTGGCTTCGGCCAATCTTGTTGCTTCGTGTGCATGGCCGCTGTTGACGGCCCCCGAGAACTTGGCTGAGGCGGAAAGATATGCCGAGACTTCGGCCAACTTTCTAAAGGTAATAATACATTAATATTTTTCTTCTTGTTTGGAAGTACCTTCGCTCCTAACATGTTTTGCCGTTTTATTCCCAGGCTTTCTCCTCGATGAACACGCTGGTTCGTTCTTACGAATCTGCGAATCGCCAGCATGACGCTGCCAACGAGCATTTTGAGATGGCTCGAGCGGAATCGGAGAGGAGATTAACCGAGGCGACCGCAGCAAAGGAAAAAGCCGAGGCCTTAGTCGCGGCCGAGCAGGAAGCGAGGCAGAAAGAGGCCGAGGAGAATGCTCGAATTCGGCAAAAAGCTGAAGCGGAGATTGAGCGCCTCAACCGTCTGCTGGCCGAGGAGAAGTCTCTTCGGGAGGTCGAGGTAGCCCGAGCCAGGAAAGCTGCCAAAAGGGTGGTCACTGAAGAGTTCGCCAAGCAGATCGAAACGATCGAGGCGAAACTGGAACAGTTCGACCGAGTCGCCGACCGTTACATGTACTTCTCGCAGGCCAAAGCAAACGCCGAGCTGATCGCCGAGCTCGAGAAGGGCAAGTCGCTTGAGGATGAGAAGAAAGAGGTGGAGGCATGGAAAGAAGAGTTCGGGGACGCCGAAGCGGAGTATTCTCAACTCGCGGTCGAGCTGCTCGGAACTTTGAAGGTTCCGCCGGTGTCTCCCGACTCCACTCATGATAGCCTCGGGAACAGGTCGATTGAAGGTGACGCGACCGAAGTTGGGGTTACCGACCAAGCAGGAACGTTTCTGGATCCTGCGGCGGTGCGTGCTGAAGAGCGAGACGAATAATCCCGAGGCGTCTATAAACTTTTCTCTTTTCTTTGTTTTAAGTTTCGTTTGGAAAACTTATGCCTGGATGGCTTTATCCAATTGAACGCGTATTTCTTCAAGCACTTGATACTTTTTGTTTACTCCGAGATGTTTTTGAAGTAAATTCGGTACCAGTGTTAAGTAACTGGGTTTCTTTGAATATGATTTGTTTATCGGGAAGTTAATTTTTTCCGAACCGTTTTAACTTCCAAACTGAAGAAATGAATTATGCACCAATGTCAATGTAATTGGTTTTTGGCAAAATGAGTTTCGGTTCAGTTTTCAGGATTGTTTTAACTTCCGAACCGAAAATACGAATAGCGTACCAGAGTTAAAGTAACTGGGTTTCGGTCGATTGGGACTAATCTTTATCGGTTGCGACCCGAGCTGATATAGTCGATTACCAGTGCTTAGAAGCGAACTGGGGTACCAGTGTTGAAGTCGACTGGGTTTTCTGAAGGCAATTTCTTTATGGCAAGATATCTCCTACCGAATTGCCTTGAATACTTATATAGCGCGCTGTAACCGAAGCGGTGACATGAGCTCTTTGTTCGTGGACGTGGCCATCGTCCGAACGAACTGTTGGCTTTTGTGGGTTGATAAGAAGACCGTAAAGGTTCCCGAGATGAATTTCGGGATGGATGTCGGAGTAGATAAGATTGAAAATCCGAAGAGTCAAAGCTTAGATAAATTGAAAAAATTTAGTGGGAGTATATGTATACGGACCCACTCCCCCCCTTTTTTAATTAGGGGGGTAGCTGGACTAGTCCGAGGACGAGCTGCCTACGTACCCTTTTCAGGGATCAAGCCACCCCGTAGTTCAAGTACGTGCGTACCTTAGGTTCTTAGCGATAATACTTCCTTAGATGCATTGCGTTCCAGGATCTAGGTATCGCTTCGCCGTTCACGTTGATGAGTTCGTAGACGCCGGGACGTACGACCTTC